TTTCCCACTTTTTCTTCAGAATTTAGCTTAATCATGCTTTCCACAGGGAAAACCTCCCTTTACCTCTCCAATTAGGTCAACCCTTTAATATTCACAGTCATTGCAGAATACATTTATCTTTCATAGCATAGTTGTAATTTTAAGTGGCTTTGTTGATGCTTTGACAGGAAGGCTGATGATATGGTCTTTGGAATTGAAGGAAGATGAAAGTAAATAAGTTAAATTGAAGATGATGGAGGTTTGCAAAGAACAGTGGAGTCACGGTATTAGAAGAAATGGTGAGAACATTGATGTGAAAAAAGATGATGCCAGGAGGTGAATTGGACTGGAAAACTGTATCAGGTGCTACAGTCAAGAAAGGTGTAAAGTACGTCAACTAGAAATATCATAATGAAGCCAAGATTACTGAGAAATTTACTCACAATAAAAGGAATCAGTTTTAGGGAATCCTTTCAGGCATAGTGGAATAACACTGAGCCTGGAAAGAGATAATTTGTGATGGGTAGTATTCGGGACATTGCCTGGAGATGTATGGGAAGAGGCATTCTAGTGGGCAGTTTTGTTTCTTTGAAAGGGTGCAGAATTGACTTACCCCAGAATTTCACGGGAGGCAACAGTTACACTGGGGAAGATAGGTCCCAAATTAGGCTGAGCCTCAAGGTTGAGGCATGACTCAGCCTCTCATGGATTGACCTACATTTGTATCATGCTTTAAAATTAGCAAAATAAATTTTAAATGGAGGTACATGGAAATCAAATGTTTTGCCCACTTTTACAGTTGGTAAATGGCCAAGTTTGTTCTCAGACACCAATTCCATTTATTTTATATTATATCGCAAGGTTACAAGTGGACAGATGGTCAGCAGAATGCAGGCCTAAAAGTAGACCATAGCAGATGCAATAACCATAATGATAACAGCTGCAATAGTTACTATTTGTTGAGCATCCATTTTATGATAAGAACTTATTACGAACTTTTCATGAGGTGTTAGTCATTTGAGCTGGTCACAAATACTTATTTCTCTCTCTCCTTCTGAGTATGTGATAAGATTGCAGTTTCCCACCTTGCTGAACTCGATATGGCCATGTTGCTGTCATTAGCTAATGACTTGTGAAGGGAAATGACATGTGTCACTTTTGTGCTGAGCATTTACTTGTCTGTATGCAATCCTCTGGAGCACTCTTTTCCCTCTGCCACATACCTAGAAATGTTCCAGATGCTGGCTTTTCCAGATAGTGAGGACGATAATGGTGTAGGCAGAACCCCCAGCCACCTCTTGATTAGCCATGTACTGGAATAAAAGACACATCTTTGTTAATAAGCTTCTTGTGAAAATCAAATGAGATGAGATATTGTAGCATTTAGGAGAGTTTAGACTGTGTTATAGCAAAAAATGACCCAAAATCTTATGGTAGGTGAAAACTACAAAAGCCTTAAAGAGATAGGGAACACTTGAAAGACAAAAAATTGTCATTGGAACCTAAAGAGAGGATCTTTTTTATTCAGTTATAAACATTTCAGAGCCTTGCAAACGCTAAACATATCTAAAAATTGGCGAATTTGGGTAAGGAGACTCTAGGGCATATGCTGAAAGCGCCAACTGGTTTCTTTTAGCTGTATATGATAAGGTATGGCTATAGAAGAGGTGAACTAAAAAGAGTCCTATTCAATTTCTAACAAACCTATAGGAAATATAAAGGACTTAGGAGTCACTCGGTTAAAAAAAAAACAAAAAAACCCACACAACTGTTTCTCATGCTGTCTCTTTGTAACCAGCAAAAGAGTCTCAAAGTAAGAAATGCCTTAAGGCATAAATCCAGGGCATTGCAGTAAACTGTAGCCCCAGAGTAAAGCTGAAATCAAGGGTGTGGCTGGAAGCTCCTTTAGAACACACCAGAAAGATTTACGGCATGCCTAGAAGAACCTTAAGGGCATTGTCCCTCATTACAATGATTCTCAACCAAAGGCAGAAAATAAACTATTTCAAAGAAATTTGTGGGTGAGGAATTTTTTCCTTCTCTTTTTGTCTAGACTGAACCTTAATAAGATTCATTAAAAACTCATGAAGTTTGGGCTTCCCTGGTGGTGCAGTGGTTGAGTCCGCCTGCCGATGCAGGGGACACGGGTTCGTGCCCCGGTCCGGAAAGATCCCACATGCCGTGGAGCGGCTGGGCCCGTGAGCCATGGCCGCTAAGCCTGCGCGTCCGGAGCCTGTGCTCCGCAACGGGAGAGGCCACAACAGTGAGAGGCCCGCGTACCACAAAAAAAAAAAAAAAAAAATCATGAAGTTTGAAGAAAATTGTGTTGGCAGAAGCACCACCAGTGTGGACTGCTGATCTAAGGACAGTTCAAAGTGAAAAGAGCCATTAAGGCTCCAGGTAGAGCAGGCTGAGAAAGTTACTCAATGGCAAACATAGGCCATTTACAGTAAAGAGTGAAGGGTAACTCACAGTAAAGAGTGGAGAATCACTCCCAGGGAGCACAACTGCTCTCTAATCAAGGAATTGATAACTTGTGCTGGCCTGCATTTTGGAATTGCATGGATACTTCTGTCTCTGACCCTCTTTTTGAAGGTGTCTATTGTGGGTATCTCATACTTGTCACCATTTTATGTCAGATGTGTATACTGTACGTATCTTCCCCACACACAGCATACAAAATATGTTATTACTGTGGGAGACAGATAACTTGTTGTCATTATTTCATAGGCCTTAAGATCAAACAGAATGATGTAACTTGACCCAGTTTAAATGATAAGTTCCTCAACTTCAAGTTTGAGCCAGTGTGGTAATAGGATGAGACTTCACAGGTCTTGGGTGGGAGATGAGTAAATTTTGCATGTATTAGAGACGTGGCTTACTGGGGACCAAAGGGCAGAGAGTGGTAGTTTACGAAAATAGTCTGAAAATGAGCCACACCTCTCAATATTCATGACCCTATTCAGTCCCCTCCACTTAAATCTGTCTGACTCAGAACTGACCAATAGAATGTATAGGAAATGATTCTGTGTTATTTCCGAAACTATGTCTTAAGAAGTCTCGTAGCTATACCTGGGCTTCTTGGAACACTCACTCTTGGAATTCAGCTGCCATGCTATGAGAGGCTCAAGACGCATGGCGAGGCCATGCGTAGGCATTCCTATGGATAGCCCCTGCTGAACTTCCTGCCAACAGCCAGAATCAATTGCTAGCCATGTGAATGATGCATCTTGGAAATTCAGTCCACTGGAACCTTCAGATATCTCCAGCTCAACTCTTAAGAGAGTGTGAACGACATCAGAGATCCCAAGTCAAAACCACCCAGCTGATCCCAGTTCATAAATGTCACTGTCAGAATAATACAATTTTGTTTTAAGTTACTAAAAATCTCTAAGTTTTGGTGTGGTTTGTTACTTATGGAGATACAGTCAGAACAGACACTTAACATTGTCCATATACGTGTTCTAATTTCCATTGTAGATCATAAGCACCTTGAGAATATGATCTGTACCTGATTCACTTTTGAATCAACTATAGTGCACAGTATGTTTTGCATATATATTCAGTAAATATTTATTAAATGAATGAACAGATTCTTCCTACACTACTAGTATCCTACAGAAACTTTATCTTTAAACAAAGCACAGCAAAATAAATAAAAATAATTAGCAGAAAGTATGCTTGTTGTGTTATAATGTCTTTGTTTCTCTGTTTTCTAATATGTGTGATAATAACATTTTTTTCCCCAATTTTAGATGTGGACCACTGCTTCTGAGTAAATAAGCATCATCAAACAGAGAATAAGATTTTTGAATCAGAAAGATTTTGGTTATATTCTGGTGTGAACTTCTAATTGTTTACTCTTCAGTGAGTCATTTACTGAACTTTAGTAAGGCATTCAATTATTAATTTTCATCACTTGTGAAATAGAGAAGAATCTATCTAGTTCATAACATTGTTCTAAAGATTATACAAAATTATGTTTTAAAGGACAGTGCCTGGCATACAGCAAAGATTAAGTATATAGATATTATTTTTAATTTTGTTTTTTTAATTTGCATATAGTAAAACTGACCTTCTTTTGGTAAATAATTCTATGGATATTAACACATGTATAGTTTTATGTAACCACCACCACAATTTAGATATAGAACAGAGTCATCACTCCCAAAACTCTGTTGCTATTCCTTTATAGTCACACCCTCCCCCCATGCCTACCCCTTGCAACCACTGATCTGTTTTCCATCACTGTAGTTTTGTCTTTTCTAGAATGTCATATAAATGGAATTATACAGCATGTAACCTTTTGAAAATGGCTCCATTCACCCAGCAATCTGTCTTTTTAGTTGGTGTGTTTAAACCATTTACATATAATGTAATTATTGACATGTGCTTCGAAATGTTAGAATTTAGGTAAAGCATTTTAGTATTTGTTTTCTTCTTATTTTTTCTATTTTCCTTCCTCTGTCTCTCTCTCCTTTCCTGGTAGTTTTGGATTGTTTCATCTTTTAATTTCCATTTTTAAACTTATTGATTGAGTTTTCTATTATATCTATTTGTAGACATTTTTTTCCAGTGATTTCCTTAGAGATTACAATATAGATACTTAACTTTTTGCATTCTATTTATAATTAATATTTATCACTTCAAGTGGAATATAGAAACCTTACCACCATATAGGTAGGACCTTTTCACCTTCCTCTTTATGTTGCAGTTTTCATATGTATATTACATTTACATATATAGAAAAGCTTATCTGACCATGTTAATTTTTGCTTTCAACCATTATACATATATATATATATATATATATATATATTTTTTTTTTTTTTTTTTTTTGCAGTACGCGGGCCTCTCACTGTTGTGACCTCTACAGTTGCGGAGCACAGGCTCCGGACACACAGGCTCAGCAGCCATGGTTCACGGGCCCAGCTGCTCCGTGGCATGTGGGATCTTCCCGGACCGGGACATGAACCCGTGTCCCCTGCATCGGCAGGCGGACTCCCAACCACTGTGCCCCCAGGGAAGCCCCATTATACATATTTTAAAGAATTTAAGAAAAAATAGTTTAATATATTTATCCAGATATTTACCATGTCTGTTTCCTTTGTTCCTGGTGTTTCAAGTTTCTCTCTAGTATCATTTTTCTTCTGGCCGGTCTACTGGAAGTAAATTCTTTTTGTTTTCCTTAATCTGAGAACATCTTTATTTCACCTTTACTCTTAAAATATATTTTCAGTGGACACAGAATTCTAGGATGACAGTTCTTTACTTTCAGCACTTTAAAAATGTTCCATTTCCTTCCCATCAACATGGATGCTGATGAGAAATCCATAGTTATTAGAATCATCAAACACCTATATGTTATGAATCATTTCTCTCTGGCTGTTTTTAGCTATGTTTGTTTGGTCTTTAGTTTCATTATCATGTGTCTGGGCATGGATTCTTTTGAGCTTATCCTCTTTAGAACTTGCTGAGTTATTCAAGTTTGTATATTTAGACCTTTCAACAAATGTTGGGCATTTTCAGCCGTTCGAATATTTGTTTTCTGCATCACATTCTTTCTCCTCTCCTTCTTTGACTCCATTGACAAATGCTAGATGTTCTGATATTGTCCCACCAGTCCCTGAGGCTCTGTTTATTTATTTTTATCTTTTTACTGTCTGTCATTCAGATTGGATAATTTTTAATGATTTATCTTCAAGGTCACTGACTCTTTCCTGTGTCACTTTTATTTTGGTTATTGTATTTTTCAGTTCTAAAATTTTCTATTAGTCTTTTTTACATCTTATCTTTCTTTGCTGAGAATTTCTATCTTCCCATTTGTTTTAAGTGTTCAGCCTTACTCCTTGGGGGCAGAGTTATAATAGCTGCTTTAAAGACTTTGTCTGATAATTCGAAGATATGTGTCCTCTCAGCATTGACATCTGTTGATTGTTTTTATTGCTTGTGAGCTGATATTTTCCTGGTTCTTCATATGCCTGATTCTTCATTTGGATTGTATCATGGACATTTTGAATATTAGGTTATGAGACTCTGGGTCTTATTTAAATCCTATGATAATAGTCAAATTTTTGTTTAGTTTTGTTTTACTAGGCAATTGACCTACTTAGGTTCAGGCTACAGTTTCCATCCCACCTTCTGTGGGCTTTGGTTCCAGTGAAAATCTCTTGCACAACTAACTCAGTGGCCAGTCTTGGACCTGAGAAGAGGTTTTGACCGTAGTTCTCAAAGCCTTTGGGATGCTGGTTATATACCAGATTCACACATGCATAGCATGAGGATGATGCTCATAGCATGAGGTGAGTAGTTCACACACCATTTTATGCAATATCTTGCTAGAGTTCCCTTCTCTCTGTGGTCTCTTCAATACTTTCTGGTCCTCTGGGTCCCCATTTCATGGTCTTCTAATCAGAAAGCTAGGCCTTTAGTGCCCCTATTTTTCCACTTTCCACAATTGATACTGTAGCTGAGGCTTAGTAGGAAGAGGACAAAGAAGGAATAAAAAGCAAAGCATCTTCATCTCTAGTTCTTTAAATCACAGCTCCTTTGGTAATAAAGGAACGTCTCTTCCTTCAGTATTTTAGGTGCCTGCTCAGCTTCTGTGCCACTGAGGTCTTGCCTGGAGGCTGGGACAGGAGAGGAAAGAAAAGAAAACAAAGGATTTAATCCTATTCTTTCTGGACCTTAGGAGTCTTCTTTACAACCTCTTGGTACAGAAAATGAGGCTTTCTCTATCTCTGCTGGGTGGCACTGCTAGGTTTCAAGTTGCCTTTGAGTCCATGGCAGGTGATAACAGATGGGGGGAAAAGGGATATTTACCTCTGGTTTGGTGGTACATCAAATTCTGGAATCCTTCCCAAATCTTTCTGCTACCATTTATTTTAGTGTCAGATAGCTATCTGTCTATCTATCTATCTATCTATATCTCTCTATCTTCTGTTCAGAGTTTAATATTTGCATTCAGTTGGAGAGAGAGGGTAGAGTATGCTTACTTCATCCTCCTCAGAACTGGATTCACTATAGAAATTATTTGAGCAAATATCTACATAATATAGAAATAACTTTTTATGTGCTATAGCCAAGGTCTACAAATAATTCTTAGTATTAAATGAATATGTGAAATATTTTGAATATATTTGATATAGAATCATTCATAAAAGTACTATGTAATAATGTAGTCATTTGAAATGATAAAAGCTTTATATATTTAAGTAATTATATTTTACATTAAACTAATCATGCTCCTGTGATAGAGTTCAATTTTATAAGTGTTAAGGGTATTTGTTTGTTATATGTCAAATTCATATTCCCCAGGTGACAAGAAAAATATTTGATAAAATTACAAAGAAAAAGAACTGAAAAAAGAAATTAAAAAAAAGAATCACAAGGAAAAAATAGGAAAATAATACTAGTGACTAAAATGTTAAGAAATTTAGCCATTCAACATATTTGGATATGGCATTCTATTAAACATATTGCCATTTGTTTTCCTCAATAACTGGGACTCATGATTGAAAGCTTCATCTTTCACTGTGTTGTGGGCATTGTTCCATTCCTTCAACTAGAAAAACGAACTCATAGATCAGAAAACAAATTAAGATTTAAGGAAAAATGGCCCCAACAGTACACTCTGTTGAAAGCCAAGAAAGAAAAAGAACTATAAGGCAATGTAAATCAGTCTGTCTTGTTAAGAAAATCTAAAGCACTACTTAAAGACATAAGGGAAATACAACTTTCATGCCAACTGTGGTTTCTACCTATTGTTGAGTCTAATGAATGGTTATTTCCCTTCTAATGTTTATTCTAGAATAACAATAAAGGTCATTGATCTCAAATTCTAGGTTGTTTTTGCCAACCATCCACCTACAATTTTATATTGTTTTTCATATAACGTTTTAAAATTTTCTCCAAATCTGCAAACAATTTTTCCTTTTTTAAAGAAAGATTTCTTAGGTTTTACAGTAATCATTTGTCACTCTATAATCAAAGCTAAAAATCCAGGACAGCACATATTCTTAGGTTTTCTTTTGACATTGTGTTAGAGAATTTTTTGTTGTTTTACTTTTAAGTCATGTGCTAACAATCTGTTTTTCTCTGCTAAGTTTCAGGCCATCTCTACAGAGAAATAAACCATGTCTTTGGAAATAACATATTTTGTTAAAAAAATGGAAGAAAGCGTTCTTTGTCAATGACAGGTTGAAACCTAGTTCAGAATGCCCGTAGTAAAGAGCTTATTTTTGTGGCTTTCTATTTTTCAGCTGAATGCAAATGTATGATGTTCCTCATAAGTGATAAAATGCTTTCATTGGATTTCAAGAAAAAAGGAGATGTTAATCTGGGCCCAACATTCTTATCACCATAAGCTTCAATAAAACAGAAGCTTCACATCAGTAATCTAAGGAAAATGTAAGAAGCTTTGGCAAAGGGTCACATTGCTCAACCTGGCTCTGAATAAGAAATTCATATCCACAAACCTATATTCTGTGCTCTGTCAGCAAATATTCCAAAATATCCCTATCTTAAACCTCCCTTTTCATCTTGTTCTTGGTGTTGCCTTATCCTTGGCTCTCCACATCAATAAGAGCATTCTAACATACTGGAACAGAACTTGTAAGACCTTTGAACATTTACATAAAAAATGTTATGTCATCAATGCAGAGATACATGAGTTTTAAAGCAAGCTAGTGAATCAAGGCAATTTGATCCCAATGTGGATGATATCAAACTTGTTTTAAAATTTTACCAATATTTGCTGCCTGAGAAATACATATAATATGCAGATGTAATCATTTTTTATTCATTCAATAAATATGTTTTGAGTACCTACTATACACAGTCAGTATTCTAGGCATTAAGAATGAATAAGTCAAATAAAAATCTCTGTCAGAAGAACTTACATTCTACTTGAAGAAGATAGTGGATTAGCATAATAAATAAATTATAAAGCAATTAAGTACTATAGAAAGAAAACAAATCAAGATAAGAGGACGGGAGAGAGCCAGGGCTGGGGTTGCAGTATCAAGTATTACAAATACGTCACATTTGGGCAAAGACTTGATAGAAGTAAGGAAATGATTCTTTTGGTTAGCTGACGGAAGAACATTCCAGACAGAGGGAACAGCCAAGGCAAAGCCCTGAGACCAGAATGTGCCCAGACTGTTGGAGAAACAGCCAGGATACTAATGTACACTGAGGAAGAAAGCAGCAAGAGATAAAATTAGAGAAGGAAGAAGGGCCTGAAAGCATGTGGCCCTTGTAGGCCATCGAACAGACATTGACTTTGTACTCTGACAGGGGAAGTCATTAGCAGGTTCTGGGAAGAGGAGAAACTTGAGTATGGTTGCTTTCCAAAATATTATGCCTAGCTGCCCTATTGAATATAAATAGAGAAAAGTGATGGAGGAAAGGAATGAAGCAGGGAGGCCAGAGAGAAGACTCTTGCAATAATCTAGGTAAAAGATGATGATGGCTTGGACCAGGATAGTAACAAAGGAAGAAGTGAAAACTGTAGGATTTTAGATATATTTTAAAAATAGAATCTACAGAGTTTACTGACAAATTGAATGTTATATGTGTAGAGAGGAGTCATGGATGGCTCTAAGTTTTTTTTGTTTTTTTTTTTTTTTTTTGCGGTACGCGGGCCTCTCACTGTTGTGGCCTCTCCCATTGCGGAGCACAGGCTCTGGACGCGCAGCCTCAGCGGCCATGGCTCACGGGCCCAGCCGCTCTGTGGCATGTGGGATCTTCCCGGACCGGGGCACGAACCCGTGTCCCCTGCATCGGCAGGCGGACTCTCAACCACTGCACCACCAGGGAAGCCCGGCTCTAAGATTTTTGGACATGAAATCTGAAGGAATGAAATGTCCATTCATTGAGATGTGGAAGACTAAAGGAGAATAAGGTTTTGGGGGAGAAGGTGAGGAGTTCAGAAGTCTGTTTTATATGTTAAATTTACATTATCTATTAGAAATCCAAGTTGAGATGTCAAGAAAGTATTTGGACATACAGTTTTATAGATAAGGTGAGAGGTCTGGGTTGAATATATGCATTTGGGCATTTTCAATATGTAGATGGTATTTAATGCATTTAGACTGGTTGTAGTCACGAAAGGAATGAATGCAGAGAAATTAGAGAGGAAAATGCTTTGGGAGAGTTAGTGAACCTACTTCCAATCTCCTCATTCTCTCCTGAACCCATTCCAGTTTGAATTTTGCCTCAGTACCCCAGGATATAAACTCTTTTCAAGAACACAGTGACCACCATGTTGACAAAGAAAATGATCCAAACTCGGTCTTCGTCTTAACCTCTCAGCAGCATTTGACTGCTCTCCTTCAAATACTTTCTTCTCTTGGATGTCAGAATACCACACATTCTCCTGGTTTTCCTCTTATCTTATCGACTACTTCCTCTTTGTCTCCTTTGCTGTATTTCCTCATCTTCTAAACTTTGAATAATGGAGTGTCCCAACTCTCAGTCTTCATGCAAATTCTTTATCTACATCCCTTCTCTAGGGGTTCTCATCCAGTCTCAGAGCTTTAAATTCCATTAATATGCCAACAACTCCATATTTTCTATTTCTAGACATCTTTTCTAAACTGAAGTCTTTATCCAGTTGCTGACTAGATTTTCCACATGGGTGTTGTCTTAGCTTTAGGCAAGGAGCTTGTGTTCCATTATTTTATTATGGAATACTACCTCAGGGATAAGCAAGAAATTAGGGAGCGTCAAAATAAGGATCCATCATGGAGCTTACTACTTCCAAGTCTGACTAATTATTCCATCCTTTGGGACATACCTATATTTCATGGAGAAAGAGAGAAGAATATATTCACCAGTTCCTGCCTTTTATTGGTCAAAGATTCAAATCAAGAGCCATCACTCCCCACTCCCTGCTTACAGATATCACGTGTGGGAAATACATGAGATCTTCAACATCCTACACCATATTGTCTATGGAGAAGTCCCAGGGAAGGAGGCAAAATACTTGAGGAATGAGCAGTAAATGTCACTCTGATAGGACATGTCATTCGATAAATTGACAGGCCCTGAATTGCCTGCTGCTACGATGCTGTGGTCTGCAATGGTGTCAACGGTAATGGTGACCTGTCTCCAAGATTACAGGAATAGTTCAAGTCATTTCTTGGTGTTCTACCATCAGAAAATAGATATGCTGGGCTGTGTTGATCCAAAGGGTGCAGAAGTCAATTAAACAGATATCTTTAAGATATTAAATGTAACATACTCCAAATGAACTTCAAATGGTCTACTTCCAAACCTGCTTTTTTTTTCCGCAGTTAATTTCTGTTCCCTCCCTGTAGATGCTTGAAGTCCAAAACTCGGACCCATCCTTGACTCTTTCTCTCACATCCGCATGTAGTCTGTCAGGAAATCAGTTATAGGCAACTCACTTCTTTCCCTACATCTTCTTTCTTTTAGGTTACTGAAAAGTTCCCCAGGAAGTCTTCCTGCTTTTATCTTTGTCTCCCTATAGTAACTCAGGTCATCTGACAGAGTAATCCTTTCAAGATGTAAGTCAGCTCATGCACCCCTTCTGATGAGCTTTACAATGGCATCCAAATGCACTCACAGTAAAGTCCCCAAAACTTTCATGGTGCTCTGTGATCCA